TTGCTTATATGTGTGGCTTTCTCTTTACCTATTAAATTGTCTTTATCTTAATCCATGAGTTTTCTCAGTAATACTCTTCCAGTTCTCTGTCCCATTCCACTGAAAGCAGGAGGCTGAGTGGTGTTTAGCTGCTGGCTGAGCTAAACCACAAAGTCCTCTTTGGTGCCCATGTAAGAATCCACACCAGAGCAGGAACATCTGAAGTGTCTGAGGCCATGGAAGAATCCACACCAGAGCAGGAAAATCTGAAGTGTCTGAGGCCATGGAAGAATCCACACCAGAGCAGAACATCTGAAGTGCCTGAGGCTGTGGCCATAGCTGTGTCAGTGCCACAGCAGGGGTGCCCCTGAAGGCCCAAGGGCAGCTCCGTCGGGGCCCAAGGCAGCTCTGTGCTGCTGCAGCAGGCACAGCTTGAAGCACCAGCAGCTGTTCACGAGGCTGGGCTGGAGCACCTCGAAGGTGTGGCCATGGATAAAGCCACAGCAGAGCAGGAACGCCCTGCAGGGACTGCAGCCAGGAGCGAGGCCAGCTTGGGCAGCTTTGCTGTCTGAGGGGACAGGGGCTGTGGGTGAAGCTGTGCTGGAGCAGATCTGTTTCTGGGGACACTGAGGCCCATGGACAGGACCGTGCTGAAACAGGTGCCCCTCAGAGCCCCTGTGGCTCTGGATAAATCCATGCAGCAGCCACGTCCCCCTGAAGAGCCTGTGGCTCACAGAAATGGCTGCACTTGGGGCAGGCACAGCCCTGAGGGGCTGCAGTCCCTGGGTATGTCCAAGACAGAGCAGGGGAAAAGGGAGGAATTCATTGCAACATTAAACATGATGGTCTAGTCCAAAGGAACTGGGAGTGAACATTGTAATGGAAATACCTTTAACTTGTTGTAATCCAGGATTTGAGATATCTCTTATAGGGATTACCACAGCACAAGCTACCTGAGCCCATGAAGGACAAGCCCTACATGAAGCAGTGCAAGTGCAGAAACATTCCAATGTATTGTTGCAAAGAGGCTGAAGGGAGAGCTTGAGAAAGAACTGCTACATATTCTTACTACAAAAACCGGTAAGTGTGCAACTGCAGCACCACCTTGCACTGCTGCCAATTTTCCAAGAGGGCTCCTTATCATGATCAGCTGAGTGTACAAACTATGAAAATGAGCTCACACACTGAGCTGAGTACGCCAGTCCCACTTCAGGAGCAAACACTGGCACACAGGTTCCTGATTCCTCGGTACTTAGAATATATTGGGCCACATGTACCTATGGTCACTGCTTCCTTCACTTGTCAAGTGACTAAGCACAGGTTTTGTGAGGCACTCCACCATTTGATTTTACTGTAGTGTTAACAGAATATGTCAAAAAAAAAATTGAAAAATTTTCCAGGGGAAGTTACCTGATACATGTCACCATAATTTTCAATTTCTCCACTTCCAGTGTGACATTTGCCATCATTGAAATCCCAACCAGAGTATGGTACAGCTGGAAAATCTTCTTTTCCAGCATTAAAATAGCTTCCACAGGTAGAATGTGTGCCTGAGCCACCTCCAGCACCACACATATGGTTGACGACAGCATCCACATAGATACGAACCTGGAAAAGCAATTTGTGCATTTCAGTATGTCTTGTAGCAAATGTGAAGTCATAACCAGGGCTTTACCACATCACTATTAAGTTGTTTATTTTCCCTTTCAGTTTCTTCTCAGTTTACACCTCCTTTGAGGACAGCAGCACCTTCCCTCAGCTCATACAGCACTTCTTGACATATCAGACAGATTTTCAAGGCACTTACTCCAACATTGTTGCATCTGGTCACCATGTCTCTGAATTCCTGTTCATTTCCTGATCGAGTGCAGATCTTGTAGCTAATGGGCTGGTATCTTTCCCACCAGGGTCTGTTCGGGTTAGTAATGACAATGTTTTCATTTGGAGGTGAAACCTGCAGATGAAATTATGTACTTTGATAAAAAATCAAATCATTTTAATTCAACATTTTAAGGGCAAAATCTGCGCTCAGGACCTCTGCCCTCAGAGGAAAGTTTGTACCCAAGCCAGTCTCTCTCCCACAGCAGAAGTTCAGGTCTGTGAGATGTCTTGTACACTGGCAAGAAAGACATTTTGGGTTGTTCCTGTGAGTTGCCCAGGTCCAGCATGGGCCTGCTATCCAGAACATGTGCATGGAAGGGCTGAAGCCGCAGGAAGTATTTTTACCTGTAATGCCAAACCTCACTACTTCCATACTTTGCCTTTAGAAGGCTTTACCTTCTATTTAGCTTTCAGCATGCCCCTTTGTATCTGATCTCTAGACATACACCATCGTTCATTCCTAGAGGGTCCTGCAGGGTTAGGGTTGCTTCTAAAAGCAGTTACTACTTCCTACCCTCCCTCCCCAGCAGCAAAGTTACTTCAAGATTACTGTCTCCAACTCAGGCATTATTAATCAAATTATTAATTATTAATAGCTTATTAATCAAATATTACAATGCCATTTTCCTACTACTCACAGGAAACAGCTCACCTGAACACCTCCAAATCCATTAGGAGCTAAGTAGCGTTCACACTCCTGAGCAATATCCTGCCAGCGCCATTCGAAGAGATGCACAATAGAGGTTCTCTTAGGGTAAGTGTTGGGGTTGTACTGCCCCCAACAAAGCCCTGTGGCTGCAAGGAGGAGGAGAAGGACTTGCATGGTGCCTTCAGTGTAAGGCTGTGCTCTCTTCACTGGCTATTTATGTTCCTGCAAGATGACAAAGTTCCTGTAGCAGGTGTCAAAATTCACATGGATCAATGCTATTAGTTATTATTTGGATAGGTAACTCAATATCATTCCTTTGGTTTGTTTTTTCTCCTGAATAACCCAACAGCTGAAAATAAAATACCTTTTCACAATGATTATACACCATCATAATCCAAGTGGCCCAGGAGCAGTACACCCAAATCCAGAATTGCACTCTTTCCAAGGCACATAAACAAAGAGACTTTATCAAAAGTGTTCCAAAATGTGGAAAATCAGACAGCTGCTGAGGTTGAACTGGGCAGAGCCACTGTCCATTTGGCCTTGGTAGAGATAAACTCAAGGCAAGGACAAAAGTTAAGATACCCTGTCTGGGCATTCTGACCGCTCTGGCAAAACAATGTAGCAAGGACATTGCTGTCGAAAAAATGATAACCGAGAAGATTGTGTTACTAAGGGGACAGGGGCAAAGGAGTCCGAGTGGAGAATTTTGTACAGAATTTGGAGACCTATAAATACTCGTAAACAGATGCAACAAACAGCTTTGCTTGCATAGCATGGTCTGTGTCTCTCAACCCCTGTGAATGGTGTCCTGTGTGAGGAACGAGAATTCGCCTATCTGGCTGTCCAGTCGGGATGCCCCACAGAACTGAGTTGCTGCTGAAAGCGGGAGCCAGGAGGCATCCATCCCCTCAGGTTTTGATGGTGAGCTGTGGGGGACATGGGCACTAATATGTCTTCAGTAGAAAAATATGTCTTTGAACTTATGTCTGAACTTCTAGAGAAGTTTTGAAAATCACTTGCTGCTCATTCTCCCAAGCTGATTTTACACTGGGCAGCATTGCACATTAAAGGGTTAAAGGCCAGCATGGCTTTCCCAGTGGAACTGTGGGATGAACGGGGCAATGAGAGATTATAAGATTGCAGCTGGTTCTGTACCTCTCTGAAGAGTTATTTTAGAAATTCTTTAAGCTAAAGGAGGGTGCTGGGAAAGAATCATCTCCTGGTGCCCCCTCATCAACAGGCAAGGACTCTGCAGAGGAGTTTTTAACATCCCTCTCTGCCTACAAACGATGAGAGATGGGTCTTTCTTTGCAAGTCACAATCCAATGGAAAGCAAGATGCTGGCACAGCTGGTTAAGTTAGATCAGTGGTGTTCATTGAATGGAAAAGTATGGAATTGTGAGTTCTGGGGAGATGTTCCGGTAATGTCAGTGCAACTTACAAATGTTACAGTAATTTCTCCATATTGGAGCCACTGTCATTATGGGTTAAACACCCTGTACCTCTTTCCTAAATGCAAGAGACCTTGAGATAGAAAAAGATCTGAGAAAATATACCAATAATGAACCCGGACATGGATCCAGGACACCGATCCTGGGAACAAATCCACAGAACGGATCGATTCTCAGGTTGGCAGTGGTGGAGCCCCATTGGAGCTCCCCCTGCCCACGCTTGGCCCCATGGCTGGCATTGGCCCCCTGGGCTTGAAACCCCCCAGGCTTGTCAGAGCTCTCCTGCCTCATCCCTTGCCCGGGCATCAGCGCCAGCCTGCGGGCCCCGGCTGCTGCCAAAGCCACCATCAGCTCCGGGGCACGGCAGGATCGTGCCCTGCACCAAGTGCTGAGGCTGTGGCACAGTGCTGTTAGAGCGCCTGCAGGATGCATCCAAATACATTTCTAACATCAACCTTGTATTTTCAGGGAGTTGTGATTTTTAACAGGGTTGTTTACTGGAGATATGATTCACTGAAAGCCATTAACTAAGTCCTAGAACCTTGAATTTTACCTGCAGCAGTTTAATTCCTCCAGTAAATCCATGTTGCTGCTGTTTTGGTCACGGAATAATTGTTTACCGTTTAACTGTTGTATGACAGATTTCCAGTAACTTTTTTGTAATGATAGAGTCAAAATTACTTTTGTTAAATTTAAGTGATATTAATTTTCAATTCTGTTATGTTTCAATTTAGTATAGTTTAAGTAATGGTAAAATTCAGTTTTATTGAATTTAAGTGATGTTAAGTTTACCTTCTGTTAATTTGAAGTTCTGTTGCACTTAAGTTCTGCCAAAGTAAGATTTTGTTAAATACTATTAAGCTAATTTCTGTTAAGATTAATTTTTATTCCAAATAATTTCTGTTAAGTTTATGTGTTGCTAAGTGTAAACAAAGTTAAATTTATGCTAAGTTAAATTAAAGTTAAATTCAATTTAAGGTCTGTTATTTTAAGTTCTGTTAAGTGCTATTAAGATCAATTCAGTTTCAGTATGTTAACTTCCTCCTGCCTAAACAGCATGGCCCCTGAACTTTAGAACAGCATCCATTTATTTCCACTTCCCAATTAGATATATTATTTTTTTGTCCTCCTATCCAAGTCTCTTTGTCAGTACATTATTGTATTTGCTAAGTTTTCATTGATTGTGATCTATGGCCTTACAGATGCAAACTGTTTCAACATCAGCGTACACAAACCCTTTACATAAAAAACAAAAAAGGGGTAGATGTGGAAGATCATACAGAATTCTCCTTTTCATATTTGACCACTAGATGATGCTGTGACTCTTAATTGCAAATTATACTGTACTGTTAACATTCTGGTTTATTTTATAGAACTCTGCAGCATTTTTATATATAAAAAGTTGGTGTTTTCTTTTTCTTGCATGCATTGTAGCTGTAAGCACATATAGGCTGGTTAGTTTATATACAAATACATATAGATCAGACATCTTAGCAATAACTTTCTGACAATACGGGGAAATTCACATTATTTTTGAAGCTGTTCTTATCTTCTTCATGGACTGCTTTGAGTAAAGACTTGCAAAAAGGGGAAAGTATACTGAGAAGAGATTTGAGATATCTAATTCAGGTTTATGTTTCTATTTTCTGTTTAGCTGTGCTACATAGAATGGTGGGTTTAGTTTCAGTTTTGGAATTTATTTTTCTGTTCTGTAAGAGCATCTGGAATTAAGGAGGACATTTCTGTTTAGAAATTATTGTTAAAAAATATGTAATCTTATTTATTTTCATAGGCATTATTTCTATTTTCTGTTTCAATAAGTAATTTCCTACTTTTATATTCAGAAGTGCAGTTGTTTGATCCACATTGTTGGGGATCTTAGCTAAGAACTCCATTAGACTTCCACACATGACATTATTGTACTGATGATCTTCTCAAAGGGATTTCAAGAGAACAGCATTCTTTCATGTGAGCTAATTATTTTTCACTATTTGCCATTTCCATGAACTCCTATGAACACTTTTTATTTTTTGCAGCAGTTTTCTCATGTTCTTATCAGAAATGTTAATACAATAAGGCTGTACTGATTGCAGCAGACAAAGCAATACTCAACCAGCTACCTTCTGTACAGAAGTGCTAAAGGCACAGCTCCATTCAGGTGATCCCCATATGTCAAAACCAGAGGGAGGTTGAAAACAGGTTATACAATTCAGAACAGATTACAAGCTAGGTCAGTGCCCATCAGTTCAGCAGAAAAGAGCTTTGGAGCTAGCTTAATATCAGCCTTTCCCACTTTCAGACATGCATGAAGAACTTCTGCCAGTCAGAGATCTGGATTTTATTTTCAATATGTAAGCAAGGAAATTACACTCTCTGAGAGGTAAGGAGTACATAAAGCCTGTTTTTCTCTCACTTTTCTTTCTTCGCACTTTTACTGCTAAATAGAAGAGCTCAAACAATCATTAATATCTGATGTGTACACCTACACTTTATTTATTGTGCCAAAGTCAGCCTAGAGATTGGAATAATGTCTTATTTAAAAGAAGTGTAAGAGAATGAGAGGACACTATTTTAAGCCAAACAGCAAAACATAGGGATATTTACTAGTGGCTAAATTCTTTCTAGTGCAGAGTGTCTATAAAATTTACTTTGCAGCTCTGCTTCATTTAAGACACAGCTATAAATGGCTTTATTTCCCCCTAGGACCTGCTTGTTGTACCCTAATTAGAGTTTTTATCTAGCGTGTTATTATTCTGGTTCTTGTGAATGCTTTGAAAGGTTTTCAAGTGAAAACTCATAAGTTGTCTTTTTTTCCCCTGGATTTTATAAAACAAATTATTTTCATGTTTATATTATGATATTTAAGTATTAATTATCCTCTCAAGACAAACATTCTTTTTCTAGATTAAAAAAAACCTCTGGAGCTAACCAAGTTGTTCATACATTTAGGACAGTTATTTTTGTAGTGCAGTTTTAATAAAATCTCTGCAGTGAAGCAAGGCATTGCCTTCATCTGTGTGTGCTTCCAGAATTATCTGAAAGAGGTCTGTAAGTGAAAGATCATCATCTTAGTAATCCTTTTTTCCTATAAATATTTGTCAGAGCAGGCTACTTTAGGCAAGGCCACCTCTGGAGTTTCACAGTATCCCAATGTTACCACAGAGTGCTCCCTTTGCCCAGAGCCTCCACGGGCTGGGGCTGAGCACTCTGCCTCAAGCAGAGCCTGTCAGGAGCAAGCTGGAAGCACATTAGTCCCATTAATTACTGCCTGGATTGAAGTCTGAGTATTCAATATAGTTCAGATCAGAAAGCTATCAGGAAAGCTGCAATTTAAATTTACTGTTCATCAAAAGAGAATGTGCGATGGCATACTCTGTCTAGGGGATCAGTGGAATTTCCTACTCTTAGTTCCTTAATTTAGGAGGAAGAAATACTGCCTTTTTAGTTACTAAAGTAGCCTTTGCTTCTGCTATAGGGATAGAGCAGCGAGATGAAATTGTGAAACAAATGGAAGCAAGGCACTGTTGAACACAGCCTTGGGAACATGGCAGTCAGGAGGCCATAAAAATCTTTCGACAATCAGAATGACAAGAGGAAGGTTTGGAAATGTAGAAACTTTGACTGCTATGGTTCGATTCCTGTCATAGAAAAAGGATTTGTAATGAACCAATACCTGACACACTCAATTGCTTCACATAGTGGGAAAAAGAACCCAAAAACCCACCAATCTCATGTTCAGCAAAACGCTTGGACCAGAAAGCTGCAAAA